AGGCCGAAACTGTCTGTTTGATACCACGGGCAAGACTAAAATTGAAAGCGCTCGAAATCGCTTTAGGCCCCGTTGATTTCAGAGAAAGGGGACGGGTCGCACTCGGAGGACACGAGTGGGGAGAACCATCAGACGGGGCCTGCGATTTCGGGATGAACACTCCAATGGCGCAGTTGAAATCGGACCTCATCGGGTATCCCGAGCGAAGCCAGACCGACGCACGATAGAGGATTTCTACTCCCTGCTTCGCCGCTCCCCACGCTGCTGCAGGTAGGCCGTCGGGGCCAGGCGCCGCAGGCCTGGCGCGGGCCACCGCCTGGCGCAGAGCCTCAGGGCCAGGCGGTGGGAGCGCGTCCCACTCGGGGGCCGGCGTGGCAAAGCGCTCGAGGTACAGCTTCTGCATCCTCGCCTTCCTCCGCTCGAAGGCTGCGTCCTTGGGCGGGTCGAAGACATGCTTCCAGTGTGCCGCCAGCGCCTCGGCCATGCCCTCTTGCGCGGTCACCGCGCTCTGGGGGAGGTCCACCGCGGCCAGGTGCTGTCTGGCCCCCCGATGGGGCCCAGAGTTGTGCACGCCGCTGGAGGGCGCGAACCTGCGCGATCATGCGCTTGCGCAGCTCCTCAGCAGACTCCTCCTCAGCCTCTGCGTGCGCCTCGCGCCTGCTGGCAGCCGCCTCGCGCCGCTGGGCCACCGTGTAGCGGCGCTCGAACTCGGCGGGGCCCTCGAGCGTCACGCGGTGGGGCTGACCCAGCGGCCCCAGCTCAATCATGTCATTCGCCCAGGGGTTCTGCGCCATCACCACCCTCGCCAGCGCGGCGTCCTGGCGCCAGAACGCTCGGGCCAGTTGCCTCCAGATCATGGCGTCGGGGCCCTTCGCGCCGCCGTTGGTCGCCAGCAGCTCGGCCTGCAGGAGCTTGGCCGCCGCCTGGAGGGGCGCGACGTACGCCGTGCACGCGTCGGGATGGGGCCATCTTGTCCCAGCGCACCCCCGCGCAGTAGAGCTCCACGATCTCGCAGTAGCGCGGCATCATGACCAGCCTCCTCGGGATGGGGGCGGGGCCCCGAGAGCGGGGCCGCAACGCCCTCGGCGCAACCGACGCGATGACCATCGCGTGGTCGCTCACCTCGTTGATGCGCAGCTCCCTCGGCTCGCCGCACACCGCGGCAGATTGCCAGAGCTGGCAAAGGGCCCAGCGGGGAACGCTCACCAGGACTTTGTCAATCCTGGAAGCTCGACGCAGACCTTGATGCCAGTGTGTCGCTCTGGCAGGGGCCAGGTCCACCGCCAAGCGCGTCGCCTCCTCCCAGGCGCGCTGGGCGTGCGCCCTCGGCCCAGACGGCGCAGGCCCAGGAGGCTGTGCGCTGAACACCTCCTGCTCCAGGACGTCGCCGTAGTTGAAGTCGCCCACAACAACCGCAGCGCGGGCCTCAGGGTCAGCGTGTGCCCAGGCAAGGTCAGCTTGAATATGTTGAAGAAGACGGGTGCGCACGTCCGCCGTGAATCCGTGGTTGCGCACGTTCCAGTGGCGGAGCTCCGCGCCTGACTTGGAGGCCGACACCTTGAGGGCACGGCCAGGAACAGCGTCGAACGGGATGTATGTGATGCGGTCGCCACTCGTCTGCGCGGGGAAGACAGTGGCCACCCCGCCCGCATCAGATTGAGCTCCGATTGGTGAAGAAGCAAAGCAAACAAAATCTCGGGCCGTACGACCAAGCAGCTGCTGCATGGTCTCCACGCCCGCGTGCGCCTCCTGCAACCCGAGTGCGACTGGCCCCCGCCAGTGCGTCTGCAGGTAACGCAACTTCCCCTTGATGAGCCTCGGCAGGTAGCTGGCGAAGCCCCTGGTGTTTCACGACGCGAACTGGGCCACCCTGTCCGCCGCGCCCCAGCAGCGGGCCATCCTGCTAAAGGCACCACTCCTGCGCCTCGGGTTGCAGCACACGCTCCGCCGCCTCCGCCAGCGCGACCTTGTCGAGATTGAACTTCCTGATGCACGCCATGTTCCAGAGCACCTGGGGGCATGCCGACGGGGATTCGATCTGTACCCGCAGCAGCTGCGTCCACTGCAGCGACAGCGCCGCCGCGTCCTTCTCCATGAAGAGCTTGTGCGGGAGCAGACCTTCAATCCCTTGCTTGATCTTCTTGAGGGCCAGCTCGTGACTGACTTGGCGACGGTTGCGATCCTTCCCCAGATTGAGTAGGACCTGCGCGCCCGTCGGGGCAGACGCGTGGATCTCCCGCCATTGTCCCTGCCCCACGCGCATGAGCTGCAGCAGCTTGTTGACCCGTCGAGCCGCCAGAGCTGCCGCGCCCTTGCAGCGGAGGAGGAAGCGCTGCGACACCGCGTCGCCCTCCAGCACCACGTGGTCGTTGAGCTGCGCCTCCGCCACCAGCGGGGCCAATGCTTGCTCCACAGCAAGCTTGGAGAGCGCAGTCTTGGCGAAGACCGTGACGACCGCGGTGTCTGTCGTCCTGTCCCAGTTGCCACCAGCGAGCGCCGCAGGGACGCCCGCGTTGAGCACCACCAGCTCCTCCTTGAGCTTCTGGATCTCCCTCTGCATTTGATCGACCTGCACCATCTTCTCCTCCACTGGCGCGATACGGTCCTCCATCGCCTGGAAGCGGCCGTCGTTCTGCTGGGCCATCTCGACGAGCGCCGTCTGGAAGGCCTTCGTCATGCTCGAGCTCGCTGACGCCACAGCCGCCTGCAGGGAAGCCTGGAGGCGCGCCTCCATGCTTTGCAAGCTGGCCTCCACCGAGGAAGGGGCACCCCCATGGGCGCGAGCCGCGCCCGAAGCCGCCGCGGTCGCTCCAGGCCGAGCAGGAGGTGCGCCCAAGTCACCAGAGAGGCCGGTGCTGGAGGCCTGCGCTGGGTGCTGGCGACGGGCCCTCTCTCCGCCAGCACGGGGCAGGCCAGCGCGAGCAGCCGCGGCCGCCCATGCGTCAGGAGGAGCACCTTCCGCGTTGGCGTCGCGCGCATGCTGCCGCCGCCAGTTCTCCATGTCCTCGTCCAGGTCCGCGGGGCCAGTGTTCCGCGAATGCCCACGCCCGCTACGTGACGTGGAGCGGCCCTCCGACGACTCGTCCTCATGTGGATGTCGGGGAGCCCTGCGCAGGCGGCCGCCAGCAGGGCGAGGGCAAGCAGCACTAGCCGCACCACCTTTGCCCCCCTTGCCTGAGCCAGCCATACGTTCTTGTGAAGGGAACGTGGGGGCCGCCTCCAACTCATCAGCAAGACGTTGATTGTCAGCCTCAGTCGGTAATCCCATGAAAGGAGGGGCTGTGCGATCGGGCGACCAGGAACGGGAAACGCCTCCGTTTACCCGACCGCACGAGCGCGGATCGATGCAAAACACTGCCAGACCACAAGGGTCTTGCCAGCCGCGGACTAGCGGTATCCACTTGGTCCCCTGGGGAACTTTGGACCTTGAGCCAAAATGGCTACGGAGGAGGAGGAGGAGGAGGAGGAGGAGGAGGAGGAGGAAAAGGAGGAGGAGAAGAACGAGGAGGAGGAGGAGGAGGAGGAGGAGGAGGAGGAGGAGGATGAGGAGGACGAGGAGGAGGAGCGATAGAGCGACAGGAAAAGGAGGAGGACGAGGAAAGAGGAGAAGAACGAAGAGCGATACATCACCGATAGATCGGCGATGGGCCCCCGATTGCGAAACCCTGTGTTCCTGGGCGGGGCGGGCTGTGATGGTCTCGGCCTTCGGGTCATATCTCGGGTCTCCGGTGGCCGTTCGGGACGATCCAGGCGCCGCTGGACGCCCCTCGGCGAGACGCAGCTGCTGGAGCGCATCCCGAGACAGGAAGACGTCCAGGGACCGACGAGAACGCCCAGAAACCTGAGACGCCCATCCCTCTCACGTTGGCCCTGATGCTCGACCTTCCCCAGGGTCTTCCCGCTCGACCTCGCGCCCTGCTCCGCCACGCGCTCCAGCACCAGGCTGACCAGCCCCTCGGCGAGGGTGCGCCTCTCCCTCGCGACGTCCTTGGAGGCCTCCCAAGTCGGGTACGAGTGGATAGGGCCAGATGAGCGCGCCGCATCGTCGATGCATCCCCGCCGTCGGCGTGGAGGAAATCGAGCTCCACATCGGGCCGCATCGCCGATGCATCAGCGATGCGGCGCGATCCTCCGACCCCATCGTGCCCCGGCCCCATCTGGGAGGCCTGGACCTCCTGCCCCTCCCTCGCTCCCCCCTCGCGCCGAGCCAGGGCGCCGAGCAGGCGCGAGGCGGGCGATCGACTCCCCATCCGAGCGGGCGCTCGGTCCTCGAGCGCGACACACCACTGGTGCCCTCGACCCGTGGGCGCGAGGCGGGCGCTCGATCCCCCGAGGAGGGAGGAGGAGGAGGAGGAGGAGAAGGAGGAGGTGGAGGAGGAGGAGGAGGAGGAGGAGGAGGAGGACGAGGAGGAGGAGGAGGAGGAGGACCCTCTCCCCGGAGCCCCTCTGGGAGGCCCGAGGTCCTCCCCGGGCAGCGGCCAGCTCACCTCCCGGAAGGTGGGCGGGGCGCGAGGCGGCGCCGCGCACGCCTGTGCGAGGGAGGGCCGCCTCCTCCCGCCGCCACCGCCGCCGACGACGACCGCCGACGCCGCGTCGCCGCGTCGCCGCGGCGCCGGCGGCGTCGTCCTGGTCGTCGGCGTCCTCCCCACGACCTCCTCCTCCGCCTCGTCCTCCTCCTCGTCCTCCTCGTCCTCCTCCTCCTCGTCCTCCTCCTCCTCCTCCTCCGCCTGTTCCTCCTCCTCCTCGTCCTCCTCGTCCTCCGTTCTCGCTGCGTGGGCGGTTCGCCCAGGGCCGTGGCAAGGCAGAAGGGTCCTCTCTCCGAAGGGCCCCCCCCCCTCCGGGTGGGGTTCGGCTGGACCGTCGGACCTCTCCCTCCTCTCTCTCTCTCTCTTTCTCTCTCTCGCTCTCTAGAGGCCTCCGAGCTGAGGGCCGAGCAGATGGGGTCGGAGGATCGCGCCGCATCGCAAATGCATCGCCGATGTATCAACGATGCATCGGCGATGCATCGTCGATGTCGGCGTGGAGACAAACGGCATCCAAATCGAGCTGCATCGGCGATGCATCGACGATGCGTCGCGACCCCCCGACCCCATCTACTTACTCCGACCCCTTCTGGGAGGCCTAGACCGTCGGACCTCTTCCTCCTCTCTCTCTCTCTCTTTCTCTCTTTCTCTCCCTCTCTCCCTCTCTCTCTCTCTCTTCCTCTCTCCCTCGCTCTTTCTCCCTTGCTCTCTCTCCCTCTCTCCCTCGCTCTCTCTCTCTCTCTCTCTCTCTCTCTCTCTCCCTCTCTCCCTCGCTCGTTCTCCCTTGCTCTCTCTCTTGGAGGCGTGCGATCCTCCGCTCTCGCCCAATAGGTCCGCCCCGTGGGCCTCCGACGGTGCAGCCGTGGGGCGGTCGCGGTGTCTGGGGCCCGCTCTCGGGCTTCGCGCGCCGTGAGCCACGGCCGAGGCCTTCTTTGACCCGTGATGCCACCACCCCTCCTCCTCCTCCTCCTCCTCCTCCTCCTCCTCCTCCTCCTCCTCCTCATCAGCATCAGCATCAGCATCAGCATCAGCATCATCATCATCATCATCATCATCATCATCACCATCATCAGCATCATCATCAGCATCATCATCATCACCATCATCATCATCATCATCATCACCATCATCATCATCACCACCATCAGCATCACCATCATCAGCATCATCATCAGCATCATCATCAGCATCATCAGTATCAGCAGCACCATCATCATCATCATCATCATCATCATCATCATCATCATCATCATCATCATCATCATCATCATCATCATCGTCATCCCCTCCTCATCCCATGTGGCCTTCCCTGCTCCCCTTCCAAAGCCACCCTCCCCCTCCCTCCTGATGGTGATGAATGGCCGTGCTGCTGGTTATTTTGCTCCCCTCACGCTTTGACGGCCGCATCCCGATGGATGGCCGAAAGCCAACGCCACGGTGTCGAACCAACCCGATGCACATATCAGCACTAGCTTAAATGCGCACGCTGCGTTATTGCGAACGACACCAGAATCTTGACCACCACTGTATTGGGAAAGACAGCCGAGCAAATTCCTGCATGCCACCATGTATCAATCCGATCCAAAAGAAGCGTACTAAGCCGTGTTTGTTGTTCCCCACATCCTGAGTGGGGTTCTTGTTTTCCCAGAACACCCTCTCCTTCCCACCCACCTCCCGCTCCATCACATACCATACCATACCATACCATACCATACCATACCACACCATACGTACCATACCGTACCATACCATACCACACCATACGTACCATACCGTACCATGCCATACCATGGCGTACCATAGCATACCATACCATATCACACCTCCAGGGAGGCCCCGCCTGAGCGAGGAGGGCATCGGACTACCATACTATTTACATTGTTTCGTGCCCCTCCCACCCCTCCAGGGAGGCCCCGCCTGAGCGAGGAGGGTATCGGAATACCATACTATTTACATGGTTTCGTGCCCCTCCCACCCCTCCAGGGAAGCCCCGCCTGAGCGAGGAGGGTATCGGAATACCATACTATTTACATGGTTTCGTGCCCCTCCCACCCCTCCAGGGAGGCCCCGCCTATATTTACATGGTTTCGTGCCCCTCCCACCCCTCCAGGGAGGCCCCGCCTGAGCGAGGAGGGTATCGGACTACCATACTATTTACATGGTTTCGTGCCCCTCCCACCCCTCCAGGGAGGCCCCGCCTGAGCGAGGAGGGTATCGGAATACCATACTATTTACATGGTTTCGTGCCCCTCCCACCCCTCCAGGGAGGCCCCGCCTGAGCGAGGAGGGTATCGGAATACCATACTATTTACATGGTTTCGTGCCCCTCCCACCCCTCCAGGGAGGCCCCGCCTGAGCGAGGAGGGTATCGGAATACCATACTATTTACATGGTTTCGTGCCCCTCCCACCCCTCCAGGGAGGCCCCGCCTGAGCGAGGAGGGTATCGGAATACCATACTATTTACATGGTTTCGTGCCCCCCCCCCCCCAGGGAGGCCCCGCCTGAGCGAGGAAGGTATCGGAATACCATACTATTTACATGGTTTCGTGCCCCTCCCACCCCTCCAGGGAGGCCCCGCCTGAGCGAGGAGGGTATCGGAATACCATACTATTTACATGGTTTCGTGCCCCTCCCACCCCTCCAGGGAGGCCCCGCCTGAGCGAGGAGGGTATCGGAATACCATACTATTTACATGGTTTCGTGCCCCTCCCACCCCTCCAGGGAGGCCCCGCCTGAGCGAGGAGGGTATCGGAATACCATACTATTTACATGGTTTCGTGCCCCTCCCACCCCTCCAGGGAGGCCCCGCCTGAGCGAGGAGGGTATCGGAAACCATACTATTTACATGGTTTCGTGCCCCTCCCACCCCTCCAGGGAGGCCCCGCCTGAGCGAGGAGGGTATCGGAATACCATACTATTTACATGGTTTCGTGCCCCTCCCACCCCTCCAGGGAGGCCCCGCCTGAGCGAGGAGGGTATCGGAATACCATACTATTTACATGGTTTCGTGCCCCTCCCACCCCTCCAGGGAGGCCCCGCCTGAGCGAGGAGGGTATCGGAATACCATACTATTTACATGGTTTCGTGCCCCTCCCACCCCTCCAGGGAGGCCCCGCCTGAGCGAGGAGGGTATCGGAATACCATACTATTTACATGGTTTCGTGCCCCTCCCACCCCTCCAGGGAGGCCCCGCCTGAGCGAGGAGGGTATCGGAATACCATACTATTTACATGGTTTCGTGCCCCTCCCACCCCTCCAGGGAGGCCCCGCCTGAGCGAGGAGGGTATCGGAATACCATACTATTTACATGGTTTCGTGCCCCTCCCACCCCTCCAGGGAGGCCCCGCCTGAGCGAGGAGGGTATCGGAATACCATACTATTTACATGGTTTCGTGCCCCTCCCACCCCTCCAGGGAGGCCCCGCCTGAGCGAGGAGGGTATCGGAATACCATACTATTTACATGGTTTCGTGCCCCTCCCACCCCTCCAGGGAGGCCCCGCCTGAGCGAGGAGGGTATCGGAATACCATACTATTTACATGGTTTCGTGCCCCTCCCACCCCTCCAGGGAGGCCCCGCCTGAGCGAGGAGGGTATCGGAATACCATACTATTTACATGGTTTCGTGCCCCTCCCACCCCTCCAGGGAGGCCCCGCCTGAGCGAGGAGGGTATCGGAATACCATACTATTTACATGGTTTCGTGCCCCTCCCACCCCTCCAGGGAGGCCCCGCCTGAGCGAGGAGGGTATCGGAATACCATACTATTTACATGGTTTCGTGCCCCTCCCAAGCGGGGCCCCGCCAAAGCGAGGAGGGCATCAAGAAAGTGGGTCCCACGAAACCGTTAATCTCTTTATGTGGGGAACTCCGTTAGCATAATTATCAATACGGTTGGTAGCGATGCTAATTTGGTTGGCAACAGCTGCGCTTGCGATGCAACTACCTCTGCAACTCCTGGTTGCAAGTAAAAGTTCGTTCCTCGTGCGACACGAAAGCAACTGAGCTGTTTGCCCCATATCCAAAAGATGGGGTTCTTTCTCCCCATATCCAAAAGATTGGGTTCTTGCTATTATCCGACCGCGCCGGACCAAAAGAACCCCTCCCCTCCTCCCTCTCTGCACTAGACAATGATGATGACTGTCATGATGATGATGACGATGATGATGATGACCATGGTCTGGTGAGGGTATGATGTAAGTAGTAGGATGGTGATGTTGACGGATGGATGAGTCTGATGATGATGATGCTGATGATGATAACGATGAGCAGATGATGAGGATGCCTCGATCGGTTTGCTGGTTTTACCACTCCTAAAGGGGGGGCCGCCAGGGGTATTGCACGGCCTCCGTTCGCGCCCAACTGGCGGGGATGTCTCAAGCGGCTTGCCTGTGTTGGTCCTCAACATCCTCCACTTTTGGAGCAGATTCTGAGGATGTCTCAGGCGGCTTGCTGGTTTTAGCACTCCGAAGGGGGGGCCACCAGGGGTATTACACGGCTTCCGTTCGCGCCCAAATGGTGGGGATGTCTCAAGCGGTTTGCCTTTTCTGGTCCTCAACATCCTCCGCTTTCGGAGCAGATTCTGAGGATGTCTCAGGCGAGGCGCTGGTTTTCGCACCCCAGGGGGGCCAGATTTCGAGGATGTCTCAAGCGGTTTGCATGTTTTGGTGGTCGGACTCGTCTGCTGTCAAAGCAGATTCTGAGGATTGCTATGGCGAGGCGCTGATTTCCGCACTCCCAGAGGGCCCAGATTGCGAGGATGTCCTAGACTCACTTATGTTCAAACTGACTCGTGCTCAGGCTCACTCATATCCAGACTCGCACTCATCATACTCATACTAAGACTCACTCACACCCAGACTTACGCACACTCAGACTCACTCACACATAGACCCAGCCACCCTCAGACTCATTCGTAGTCAGACTCACTCGTACTCAGGCCCACTCACATTCAGATTTACTCACGCTCAGAATCACTCACACTCAGACCCACCCGCCCTCATATCC